CAATCTAATGTAATTTTGAACTAAATCGTTGAAATCTCAATATTTTTGTTGCGCTTACCTACGGAAGTATACAAAGCTTTATACTCATAAAAGTAAATAGTTTATCATTCAAATAAACATTAAATTCTGGAAATCCCGCTTTTATTATCGCCCAATACGTTATAAATATATTCAAAGGCGTTCTGATTTGTTATATTCTGATAAGACATAACGAATTGTCATGTTATAAGCAAGATAAAGAAACATTATTAGGCATCCCCAAGTTTACCCAGGGTGACAATCGGCTTTACATATATGGATTTTAAACTTAATATTGATGTAAATGTTCATATATCATGTTCTCCTTTGTATTAACAAGAGAAATGTCTTATTATATCAAAAGGCCAAACTCTTCTCGGGTCTTTGTGGAGGAGGTAAGGTTTTGGGTCACTGGGGACACGGGTCCACAACACGTGCGTCAGTTTATTCTTCTGCGTCTTCTGGCAACTGTGTTTGAGTTACCCATTACTTACAACCTTCCTTTATTATTTTAGTACACTGAATAATAGTTAACATAATAACAAAACGACTATGATATATTTATTATATCTTTATTATATTTCTAATTAGTTTGGGGGGAATAAGTATTATTTTGTAATATTTAATTTAAAGGCGGAGGAAGAGTTGAGAGAGTCCCACGTGTTGTGACGAGCTGCGCCGTCAGCTGATGGAGTCAACATGGCTTCCATCTTGGCGAGTACAGCACGGGTTAGTCGTCTACCTGTCGTCGTAGTTTTGGGTGCGACTGGGACGGGTAAATCTAAGTTGGCTTTGGAAATAGCTGGTAAATTTAATGGTGAAATAATCAGCGCGGATTCTATGCAAGTAAGTGAAGGTTTATGTTGTGTAAATGGTTGGTAAATGAGGAGTATGTGTACGTGTGTGTCTAAGGTGGTGTGATGGCGGAACAAGAGCCGGGTAATTCAGTCACCGGTTGTCTTGAAAACGTCTTAGCGAGTGTTAGAGTTGATGTATCACTATGATGATCACATGAGGTGTTGCAGAAATATAAAGAAGGAAGTCTGAGGACAGAAGTTAGTACACATTTCCCCGCTGTCGTCTGCATTTGTCACCAAGGGACGAGCAGAATGCACTTCATGCACTGCAACAACCATGCGGTCCCAGGGTACAAGCACAGTTACTTTCCTGATGTTTTCTTGAAGGTAATTATCATAAAGCTCCAAGTAAAGAAGAGGTCTAGTAATATTTACTTGACCTGACAACGTTTTAGCAGACAACAACAGTACATCTCGCCCACCATTAGCTACTTTGTTTTTACTTTATTTAAGTGTCTCTCTTCTTCTCTGTGTTCTTACCTGACATCCTTCCTTGTGCTTTATCAATTAACACTCATATAGGCGTGTAATGGAGAGATATGTGGTGAAAATTGTTCAGTATTTGATGACTTGAAAGATGATAGTGAATGTGTAAGTGAATGATTGAGGACTCCATATGTAAATCACAATTTTAAGATGGACATTTAGTTGTTTTAACCTAACAAACATAGCTGGAAATAAGGTAGTTAGATAAGGCAAAGTTATGTTAAAGTTATAATACAAGCCTTATGATATTTTCATTCTTATTCTTCATTGTGTCAGGGTATGAAGTCACTTTGATATCCATTTATTTTGAGAAGGCTTATAATTTGAGCTACTAAAATTTCAGAGTTGCACAGATGATAAATTATAAAATTATGTTCCCTTTGTTGATATAATTTCAATATTTTTATACCATTTTAAGTTAGAAAGTCAATTGGGGTTTGTTTGGTTAAGGAGATGGATGATGCATTATTTTCTGAATTTGTTTGACATTCTCATGGCTGAGCTTATTCGAATTAATGAAATGTACTTTCCACAAGGGATATTGGAAATACCATAAGAATTTATAGACTTAATGTATAGTTTGTCCTCATGAAGCATTGCTGTCAAGTAAACAATGATCATTCAGGGAGACAGTACCTAAACTTTTACAGACAATGGGCAATCTAGAGACAACCTAACCTAATGATCTTGGATGATTTATAGTTAGGTTTGATTTAGTGTGTTCATGTCATCTGCCGTCATTAATGGTTAAAGCCCACCGTTCTTTACTTTTTCATTTTTAATAAGTATTGCTGCTCATGGATGTGTTACGTGTTTTCATAATTTTGTGGTGATCGTTCCTCAAACATTGGTAATGATTTAGGGATTAATTTTCTTTTTTAATCTTGTGAGTTAAAAACAACTAAGTTAATCTAAACTGGGCATGTACTCATCTACCGTGGAGGGGGATAGGCACCAATAACTATACTACTAGAAAATCACCGTCATAGTTATGGGCTCATAGACTGGTGTTTGCGGAACAATAGCCAATTTTCTTTTAATCCTTTCTTCCCACTAACTTTACATTTTATAAATTTTAAACAAACTTCCATAAAGATCCCACCAAATAATGTAAGGGAGTAGGTGGGTGTCTGTCTCTTAAACCTTTCCTTGTATATTTAATGGTGTGTTCTGATTTATCATCGTATAATGATTGTTCAGTATTACACATCTATGAAGGTAATGGAGGAGAGTTGGAAATAGAGGCACCTATACATCAAGACATTCTATGTAACTGTTTAAATGCTATGATTTTAGGGAATTAGATATTAATCAGTATTATTGGTGTATGCTCTTTGTCATGCATACAAATAGTTGCCTCTTATTCGTTGTTACTTTTACCAGTTACATTTATGGAGAGGAGCTTATGTTTGTTCGTAGATATATTTCCAAGTGAATCTCATTAAAAATGTCTCTTAATGCACGTCATGCAAGTTCAATGGGGTTTTAAAACATGACATGGCAAATCATACAGAAAAATATCGTGACGTTATCTCTCGTAATGGCTGATAAATTAGGCTCGTCATATCATTCGCTCGAGGTTAAGTTAGGTTATTTTAGAATCATTCACCTTTTGGTCATCGTGAGAGACACCTTAATGAGATTTATTCATATTAGCCTCGGACTTTAAGATAAGTGATGAAGTTGACCACGAGAACTAATTGAACCTAACTGACACCATCCTCGAATCCTTAAAGTGTATTTTTTGCTGGTGGTCTACTTGATCAGCAGTTTATAATGTAATTTACTCCTCGCTACCCTTTTGTTATGTATTTACATTCGCTGCTTTAAAACAAACAGTGAAATACCAATAGAAAAGTTTGTCCGATATAAATACACATGATTTCTATTTCGGTTAAACCTTTTTACTCTGGATTTGGTAAATTTTATTGGCTGTGTGCACCACAAGATGCTAATGATGTTGATAAAATGAAATGGTCAGACTTAACTGCCTAAGGTAGCTAATTGGTTGTACAAAACTTCTTAATGGAGTTAGATTATGGGAGTTAAGATTTAATTTGCTTTTTGTCATCATTGGTACACCTGAAAGTACAGCCTTATCTTATTTATCTTTACTAAAGACAGTACCTTTTCATTTTTTCATGCATGCTGTAGTGTTTTGTAGTTCACCATTTTGCACTTTTTTCAATGAATTCAGTATTATGCTGATAAGTTATAATATTTTATGTACAGTATTGTATTTCGTGAGTACACTACTGTATTATCATTACAGTACAGTACAGTATGACAAAAGTCAAGACTAGCTGCAAGCACTATTTAATAACAAATATTAAATACATGGTACACTACAGTACTGTATATCAAAATACTCCTTATGCATAGTAGAATCCATTTCTGGCGTGATTTCTAATTCCTATTACTCTACTTTGAATTTACTTTTTTGAAGTAGCAAGCTGGCAAATGAAAGCAAACTTCACCATAGTGTGTATGATTTTAGCAGGAATGAACCACTGAGTGATGTACAGTATACAGACAGTACAGTACAGTACTCTACTGTCAAAAATGTATACAGTACCAATTGCCTACCCAGGACTTATTCCTTTACAGGAGTAAATTTAAAGTACCTGTATTTGAATGAGAATACAGTACTGTACTTTTAATTTCTACGAATACAAACCCAAAGAAACGGTGTCACTGATTGCGAATACAAATACTTTATGAAAGTATTCATAAATGCATTCAGGAATGCGATTAGTTAAAATAGCTTTTTATTGCTATAAGTATGGTACTGTACTGTATGTAATGGTGCAGGTTGATGATTTAATGATTGGTATTCAATATATCAAACCTGTCCTGTCACACGCGTTACAGTAAATGTTTGGCACACAAAATAATTAATTTCTTTCCAATTGCTTATAATAATGACTATGATGTATATAAAATTTAAATCCAATTTTAATTAGGAGTCAGAAATTATTGTTGAAACAAAAACTTTAAGCTACAATTTGGCAGCATACGAGCATACATCTCACACGGTACGAACACATCACCGGTCACCTACCCACCCCAGTGATGACCGTTGAGAGTTGTGTGCTATTTACTAACATTCTGTTTCAAAATTTAACTTAATTGTATAATGTACTACAGCTTTTCGGATGTCTCAGGTCACAGATTTAATAAGTGGTTGTTCATCCTAAAAACACTCTCTCTCCATTCGTCCAAAATAAATTATATAAAGTTAATGGTAATTTCTATCAAGAAAACCATTATTATTCATCAGATTATCCTATGAATACTGTACTTTGCCTGAGGAGTACAGTTTGTACTTGGATTTCTAAAAGTAATGTATTCAAATACAAATACTGTATCCTGAAATGCTGTATTCGAATGCAAATAACAAATAATCCAAACCTGGATTCCACTGAGATTTGGATTCCTGACTAAGTGACTAGCCAGTCAGTGCCATTGCTATAGGCAATCATCAAATCACAAGAAAATTCACTTTATCAGATTGGTTTACCAGATTTTTTTTCATTAGTGGGCATCAACAAGTGAACATCTGAGATAAACAATAAATTCTTAAGAATTGTTACAGAAGACCTTATTGGACATGAAGATTAGTAACTGTAATTTTTAAATGTAGAAGAAATAGTGTCACACTTATTGTGGCATGAATAAATGTAGGATTGTTTTATTTAAAGGTTTGATGACATTTCAGAAAGTTAATTGCTCTTTTATTTTGACACTGCTTTCTAATAATTTGTCAAGTTTGGGTGATTTTATGTATAATAATGACAGGAAATTTAGGTGTGTTAGCAATACTGTACAGTATGTTAAATGAGGCTCTAAAGAGAGAGACTGTTTGTTGTCAGAAATGGATGAAAACTGTACATGAAATGGTGGATGCAACTATTATTCGTCACTTAATGGAAGATATGGATACTTTATACTTTTTTAATTTTATCCTCTTCACCACTGATTGGCTCGTTAGCTGCTAGGGCGATCGGTCACGTCTCTGTTATGCACTGTTGGCAAGTACTGGGCATGCACTGGCTCCTGAATGTACCTGAACCTGCTCCAGTGTTGGTCAAATCTGGTTTTGAAAGAGCTCACACTCGGTGCTGTCACAACACACACTGGCAGATTGTTCCAAAAGTTCACAACTCTCACTCCAAAAAAGTTACCCCTCACAGTTTTCTGGACTTGTGGCTTCTTCAACCTTGAGCTGTGTGATCCCTTGTGGGGTGAGCGTCCGCCAGCTCCAGGTAGGGGCTCTTGACTGAGTAGTGCCCTTTTGAGATGCTTATACACCTCAATTAGGTCTCCCCTTGCCCGTCTGTAGTATAAGCTAGGCAATTTCAGGCGCTCTAATCTCTCAGGGTAACTGAGGTGCCATAGTGCAGGCACCAGTCTGGTGGCCCTCCTTGGGACATTTTCAGTCAACTGACAGTCCCTAGCCTATCTCGGGGACCAGACGGGGTGACAGTACCATATATGTCGGCGTACAAGGCCGTGGGGTGTATAAAACGACCCCCCAAATTTCCATATAAAACTTAGGTTTTGAACTGTACTTGCTGTATAAGATTACCGCAAATCTGACACTTACCACTGGGAGCTTACTACCCCAGTATTCCTTTACCAACCATCCCACTGACCAGTGGAGTGATGCTGCTAAGCACACTGCGAAGCAACACAGCCTTGGTTATTTAACTTAGGCCAATTCACTTCAAATAATGGCAAAATATTTACTGATTTATTAGTTTATTTATTTATTTATACTATACTGTAATATATTAGAAATGTAAGCATAAAATACACTGCAGGTATTTCCTTTAATTTATAAACCTGCTTCGCGAGACGATTGGTAGGACTGGCCGTTTGTTTACTTCGGCGGCAGTTGCAAATGGCGAGCAGTGCGTGATGATACCTGTGTTTATTAACGTGCTTCGCGAGATGATCGGTAGGACTGGCTGTTTGTTCACTTCGGTGGCAGTTGCAAATGGCAGGCGGTGTGGATGATACCTGCGTATATTATATTGTTATTATATGGTCTTTACGGTATGTTAGACAGGTTTATAATATTTTTATTATTTTAATATACCGGTAATCTTATTTTTAATCCTGCTTTCCAAACTTAAGTATTAGTAGAAAATAATTAGTGGTAGGACCGTGGGATTAAGGAGAGTGTTTTACGATGTTCTATATTACCACTGGTGACACAGTAAACCACAGGATGTAGAGGTTTGGATCTCACATCTGGTGTTTAAGACGACCCCTAATTTTGGGCCAATTTTTATAAGGTTCAAATTCCGTCTTATACGCCGACATAAACGGTACTCCAGACGGGGAAGCACTTCACTCTTGAAGATTGTTACGCGGGATGGACCGTCTAGATATGTGAACGACCTTCTTGTAAGACCTACAGTATTATGGAAAGGAAGAAATGTAAACCAAATGAATCCATTATTGTTGGTTTACATCCAGTCAAGATGAAGAATAACACATGAAAAAAAATATAAGGCATAAGTCATGTGGAAGTCTTACAAAGATTAGGAAATATCTACGAGTTTTGTGTCCAGTACAGTATATAATAAAACTGGCATGTTCTGTCATTAATGCTTTTAAAGTAGTGATTAATTTTTTAAAAATGGTTGGGTAATTTATGGAGAGCTGGTAGATTCCCACAATCTGCGGATATGTCCATCTCTAGGTTCTTCCGGGTGTTGGTTCTGGGTCATAGCACAAAAAGGTCTGGAAGCACCTTTATATACTGTAGTTTGTATTCACAATTAACCTTTTGGTAGAGATGCCTCTAGCTGAAAAAGTTAGTACTGTAGTTTCAATATTTATTTAATTATTATTTATATCTGTATAGTACAGTACTGTACATAGTCAGTACAGTAATTAGGTCTCCCCTATCCTAAGGTGAAGAGACTTTATTTTACCTTGGTTTCTGCAGGTACTATACAGTATGATACTGTACTTTTAGGCTTAATATTTGCTCATTTGTGGTTTTAAGATTTTTCTTGGTGAATATTTGCGTTTTTTACTTCTTTTTCACTCGGTTGGGGAATACTGTTCTTACATACAGTACAATATTAGCTTACAAAAAACAATTTCCATCTATTTTTTATTTATAGTTATTAACTGAAAACAGTCATTTTGTCATTTGTAAATACTGTACAAGATAGGCTTGGTGACATGAAACACTTTAAAACTAACAGTATAACAGGTGAAAGATGGTGTTGAGTTGGATCCATAAAAGCTTATTCTAATGTGTAACGACGGGGTTCCGTCCCGACGACCAGGTTGTAAGATGAAAAGGCGAAAATATTACATAGAAATTCTAAAATGGATGTCTATTTTTCTTCTCAGCACCACGAGAACTCTCACTTTTACGCTTGCCAGCCATTTTAAAGGGAATTACAAACAAAAATTTTGTTAGTTCACAGCGCGATCACTAACGTCGGGACTCGAAAATACGTAATTTGAAAAATATTTTATACGACCAGCCGTCGTAAGTCGAGGAGAGACTGTATTGAACTGTACTGTATGGAGCCTCATAGAAAAGATTGATATATTCATGGTCCAAAGTTAATTAGGTTCATATAAAATATGTTACAGCCCTTGGTGATGTCGATATCTTCTTTCGCATTGACTCTATATGGTCTCTTACACGAAGGGAAAATTGCTCTGGAAAATGTACGTATTGTTTTGTGTTACTGAGGCTTTCAAAATTTTATGGAGGAGAATCATTGTCATACAGTATTAAGTATACTGTACAGTACTTTTCTGGATGATGATGTCAGGTCAGTGTATCAAATCTTAATCTGTAACTTCATGGGTTCAGTGTTGGTACAGGATGTAAGTGCAGTACACAGATAAAACCCTAATGCCTGTATTAAACAACATCTTCCCTTGAAGAGGGTCGTCGTGTTTCAACCCGAGTTTTAAACTACAAGGTAAATGAGTCCTGAGGGACACTGCAGTACTGTACTTAACAGGGTGGTGTGGTGGTAAAATTAACTAATTCCAATATTATAAATAAATTTTATTGGAATTAGTTAATTCCACCACCACACCACCCTGTTAAGACTGTACTGCGGTGTCCCTCAGGATTCATTTAGTTTAAAACTCGGGTTGAAACACGACGACCCTCTTCAAGGGTAGATGTTGTTTAATAATACAGGCGTAAGTGTTTAGTAAGGTCACACTAGACAATACTGTGCCTTTCTCACATCCAACCCAACCTAGATGGGAATTAAACAAAAGCCTCAGTGGTAACCTCTGTCACCGAATATTGCATGAAATGTTGGAACTGTATGTCCTGTTTTGTGGTTCTTCAATTCTTTCATGTACCGTAAAGTACTCTGAAACTTGAACATTTTGAAATTGAATATTTTTATTCCATATCTAGTTAACTTTAATTGCAAAAATTGGCGTACGGCCCACGAATTATTTGAGATGCTGATTTTAAGTAGCCTGTATTATACTATATACGGTACTGTACTACAATTATTAGTGTGGTCACTGCTTCCTTTAGGTAAGCAATATGAGATGCAGGTCTTCAGGTTTTAGCATCTATGCTTAACATTTGTGTACTCAAGTGAAGAACGGAGTTTGGTAAATTAGATTTAAACTTCTTTCATGTGTACAGTATTGCAAATTACATGAAGAAAGTACAGTAATGCATAATCTTGCTGCTGGAGGTATTAGTTTGTATATTTATTTTGGGTAATTATCTATGCATTAGTAGTTATTACGGTAATTTGATTGATTGGGAATTCATCTCAATATACAGTAAATACAATACACTATGGGTTATAAAGAATACAGCTGTGTACTGCTAACACATATTATTAAATATTGTACTGTACTGTATTAGATTGATTTTTGACTTATCAGTATGTTGCATGAACTGATTCAATCTCTCTCTCTCCACAGGTGTATCATGGCCTTGATATAGTGACCAATAAGGTGACACCAGAAGAGCAGGCACAGGTTCCTCACCACCTCTTGGATTTTTTGGACCCACTGTCTCGCTACAGTGTCACAGATTTCCGGAATGACGCCCTCCCTGTGGTGGAGCGACTCCTTTCTCAGAACAAGATACCAGTCATTGTTGGAGGCACCAATTATTACATAGAGTCTCTTCTCTGGAATGTCCTTATCGACACAATACCAGTGGAAAAGGAGGGCACGTCCAGCTCAAAGAAGCTCGTTTATGATCGGGATAAAGAGTTTTATGCATCAGCTAAGAGAGATTCGAAAAGTCATGATGCTGATGAAAGTGTGGTGAAAAAGAGCAGGGTCAGTAGTGAAAGTGCATGTGGTAGTGAAAGTGACAGTGATGGTTTTAAGGAAAGTGTCAATGATAATAATAATGTCAGAGGTGATGTGGAAAAGGAGGAGGAGGAGGAGGAAACGGGCACAAAAAGTGATAATGGTGTACAAGATAAAGCACAAGTGATGGAAAAGGAAAAAAATGTGCATAATAGTGATGGTAGTGAGTTACCAGTTAAAGGTGTAGTGTGGCAAGACACCGACATTACAACCGAGGAATTATATCGCCGATTACAGGAAGTTGACCCGGATATAGCTTCACGATACCATCCAAACGAACGCAGGAAAATTATCAGGTAGGTGTTTTCTGCCTCTAATGTATGTGTCAATCAAACATATACTGTATCACTGTGTCCAAACCTGCTTTGTTGTCATGGATGCAACACACAGGACCACCATCACCAGTTGCCGGCTGTGGTTTGTTACATGGGATGCAATACCGTGTAGCTATTTGCTATAGGGTTATGATAAGATAGACTTCAGTGTCAGAGATTTTAAACTTGAAAAATTACCATTATTAAAGATTACCGTACATACTTTTGTCAGGCACTCATGAGCAGACTGGGAACTTAGATGCGGTTTCATTTTATATACAATTTGTAGCTACTATACCGTATGTTGTTGGCATATAGAGGTACAGTACGATGGTACATAGGCCTACATTTTTTTTAATATATACTGTATTCATTGATATATATGGACATTGAAAAAATCAGCTTTGTTTTGTCTATTATTCAAGAGGACTAAATCTACTGGGTAATGGTGTGTGCGACCAGATGCTGCTATACATTTATTTTACATTTGTTGTTCTGTCATGGAGTGTTGCATTGCAGTGTTCTTCAGTAATGGTTATATCAGCCGTGGTACCGTTTATGGTTTGATTCTTTTATGGAACTGTGCACCAGGTGGCTTTTACCTTACGTGAATGTGTGAATCTTAACTGCTACCTGTAGTTACAAATACCCATTTTGGCAATTGGGTTATTTAGCAAATCATCTCCCAGGATGAAGGGTGAATGAGGCTGGAAGTTATATACAGCATGACTTGTTGAGGTAGATGGTCACCAAGACAACTCACTGGGTGACTTATTAGGATGGATGGTCACCAAGACAATTGACTGGGCGGCTTAATAAGATAGATGGTCACCAAGACAACTCACTGGGTGACTTATTAGGATGGATGGTCACCAAGACAATTGACTGGGTGACTTACTAAGATAGATGGTCACCAAGATAACTCACTTGGTGACTTAATAGGGTAAATCAATGGCGTAGATTTGTTGTGACTGAGGTTTAGTATATATTGCTTTGAATATAAATATACATTATTCTGTAACTATAAAACTAGTTTATACAGTAAACCCTTCCTTTATTATTAACAGTAAAAAATGTAAGCTTGTGTGTGAGAAAATTAGTGGAATGATATTTGTGCATGTTTAGAGCCTGTTTGTGACCAAATCGAAAGTTGTGTGTCAAGACTCGATGTTTAGTGTAACCTAAGTGGATGACAGTTTGTTAACCAGTCAAATTTATGCAAGTATGGGCTATAGTTGAAGATATTGTAATTAGTCCGTGAAAATATATAAGCAGTGGTAAACAATAAGGCAATTCGACCAAGGATAATTGATTGATAGAGCATTTGCCGCTGAAAACAATTTTCTGCGATATATTTCACAGATGTTTGCAGTTCTCAGACCTTTAACTTGAGGTTCTTTATACAACACAGGATATCAGATTTGTACAACATCCCAGACCTTGTTGACGACCACAACCTGTGAAGAATTCCCAGTCTCATGTTTGGACTGTTGGTCGTGGGTGTAAAATTTCCCTATTTGGGCAGAAGAAATATCCACCGTTCGACAGTTTTGTCTCGCTTTCCCACGCTAAAACTCAACAGTTTTAAAGTGACTGTTATTTAGAGGCTGTGTGGTGTCCTACAAAAGAAAATTATCAATGTGCATGAAGCTTTAGAGTGAGTGAGTAGAATGACTGCTTTTGGTACCAGTACTCGAGTATTGAACACCTGTCGCTGCTCACCCATCATTACCCTGACCAATACTGGGACGAGACTATTAAGATCAATACCTCCAACGTTTTATAAATATCATGATCTTTTATACGGATTTTTTATATCATGATTTTTTTTATAGTTTTTTTTATTGTAATGATGAACGAACCGCAAACAATATTTACGTGAAGTAATTATACATTTTTTTAACCTGAAGGCGGACGAAAAAACTACCGGTGTAAGTAGGCTTCGTGCTTATGGGAACCTGCCAGGACTCTATTTATTTATTTATATTAATTTTTTGTACCTTGGGCCTGTGAGAAATTCCTCCTTGTCATACTCCTTCCCACTCACCCCATATGTAAACAACCCCACATAATCCTGCCTCCCATATGTAAACAAGCCCAAATCGTCGCGCCTCCCTAACGTAAACAAATCCACACTGCCTATTCCTCATTGTACTAATTGTAACACGAAAAAAAGAGAGTTCTCAGTGCTTTTTAAAGCTTGTGTTTGTGTGAGGCCTTTACCGTGTATATAATAGTTCTTTCTTAATGTCTGAATGACTGTCCCACCTCTTGACAGTGGTAAGGAGTAGATTGGAAGGAATAGGGAGAGACAGGCCGGTTAGAGAGAGAGGGATAAGGATGATGAAGGAATAGAGATGCAGGCCGGTTAGAGAGAGAAAAACACAGGCCGGTTGGAGAGAGGAGATGGTGTATGCGTATTTATGACGTATATAGGCCGCCCTGTAATCAGGTTTACTGGTCCGGTCTTGTTAAATTTTGGGGGCCTCAATAGGATTTTATGGCTGGCTCCTCCCTGTTCATCTCTGGCCCGTAATAAATGCCGGATGGGTCAAATAAGGGAGCGCCCATACCCCGGTCAGCATCCTCACCTGCGGGTTTTCACAAGTTGCCGGAAAAAAAGATTTTACGCTTTCATAAACGAATTGATACGGGGTTGAATTACGGATTACCAACAGCATAGTAAATTGAATTTGGAGGGTTTATGTATAAATTTAGCTGTATTAGGGATACTTTGGTTGCATGGGAGTTTTAAAGTAGGGGTTTGTTTTATTTTATTTTAGATTTTTAAACTTATTAAACTTTTCATTTATATCATAGTTTTAACTTAAGAGTTTTCTCATTGTCAGAGGTTCGGCTAGGCTGTGCACTTGAGTGTACAATGTAAAATTTGTACCATCATTGTGCAAAACTGAAAAGAAATGTACTGTATAACAAAATCGTCTAAAATACTCTAAGAAGACAGAATAAAACATAGATTATAAGACAACAGATTAACATAAGAACTGACATTCATTACCAAAGCTGCTTTTATTTTTGTTTACAAGGAAGATGCATTCCAGATATTTTTTAAAGCTCAATTTCTGACGAACTGTGACCTGATGTCGATCTGAAGGTGGAACTCTTCCCCAACCAACTGAAGAAGAACTGGTAATTTTCCTCCGAGGAATTGTTTTCACCCTGGGATGGCCTCGCGTGTATTGTGACTACAGTAAGATTAAAATGTCTAAGTCTGCCTCGCGCTTGTCCAGAGTCGGGTCCCAAAACTGGTGCTCGTGGTGTGAAATGTGACCTCTCCTTTATTAGTGTGTGTTTGTCTTTTCGTGAGATTTATATACCTAGTCTAATTGCTGTTGCATGTGAATAAATGGAACAAATACTTGTTCTTTTCAGTTGGCGTAAGTTTAATTTTGACTCGAGTCTTGTAGGCACGAGGTGTATGACCCTAGTGGTGGTGTGTACGAGGGCGCCCCCTACCGGATGTCAACGCTAGTGCGACATTCCTGGTACTGTAGCTACTGTACTTAATTTCAGTCGGTAAAGAAGTGTTAGGTCGTTCTACTGGTGTGGCATTCATTAATCTTCTGGCCTGGTGAGTTATAGAAATAGTTTGTTTGACACACATCAACACATACCTACACATTGATGGTTGCCCCTCGTGTAACGAGGATGGCCGGCCCAAGGGCCACCTAGCCGTGAATTTGTTTAAGGTGCAGAAGCTGTCGCCAACACAACAACCACACCCTAAGTTAACGAGTTGCATGGCCCAGTGTCAAGGAATAGTCCGAGAAGACTGTACAACTCGCCAACTGCACTGGCTAACCATTACCCCGGAATACGATCCGCAAATCGATTAACATCCAGGTTCCCAATTAATGCTGGGTAGACAGAGGCAAATGGCATAAAGAAACGTGCCCATAGTTTCACATCTATACATACGTACATACACATCTACAAACAAGTACACAAACACACATGTACACACATACCTATACATACATGCACACACCATGCACACCTATACATACGTACATATCTACACATACATACATATTAGTCTTTCATTTGTTTTAGGAGTCATAGTCGGTTATTACAGTCCCTCCAGTTTTAAACCTTAGGCCTATTGGAGTCATGGCCTCAGTTTGTTTAGGTATAAACCGAAATTAATTTAAGAATTTATCATGTACAGTATATATATATGTCAAAGAAATTATGTACGGTATCTTTTTCATACAAATGGTGATTGATTTGTGGTAGTTTCCCTTTGATTAAGGGTTCCTGTGTATTATAGTAAGGGTAGTTCTGTGCTTGGGAATTTCGCCTATCACCATCAAGGTTAGATAGTTAATTAGCATAGCCTTTGCCAGATGGTGCGTGAAAAGTCGTCCTGTCCTGTGTGTTATTCTATGTTAGATGATCGATCGTGTATAGCTTGTTAGGTAAATTTATAATTTTTTTTTTTTGGGGGGGGGGGGGTTTACTTCGTCGGTCAGTGTTTTGTGTATTACAGGTGTATTAATTGTGATGGTCAGAATGTATACAGCCAGGTGTATTAATAACGGTGATCAGAATGTGTGGAGACAGGTGTAGGAGCTAATTAAGGCGTTAGTGTTGTCATATACAGGTGAAAAAGATACTGGTGTAGCGCCTATGTGTATTGGGTGTAGAGCACAGTATATATAAGTCCCTCGTTACCCCGCGTTCTCAGGTATTTTATCAAGAGTTGTCGATTTGTCAATAAAAGAGGCACGTGACTGGTACTTTATGAATAGGGGGGATGGGAGGCGTGGATAGGGAGAGATGGGGAATGGAAGGCGTGGATAGGGAGAGATTGGGAATGGGAGGCGTGGATAGGAGAGAGATGGGATAGGGATGAGAGGCGGGATTGGAGAAGGATGGATTGGATACGTCGAAATTACGAGGGGAGGGGGAAAGGGAGGGGAGTTAATGGGGGTTAAGAAGAGGTTAGAGAGGGGAGAAGA